CTAGTCTCGCGTAGCCAGACCACACCCTCCGTGCCTACGGGTGTACGTGCCTACGGGTACACCTGTAGGCACGGAGGGTGTGGTCTGGCTACGCGAGACTAGGGGTTTGTGGGGGGTTGCAACCCCACCAAAACATTCTAATTCAAAAATTTTTAATGTTTTTATTGTTGCAACAGTGGTAGAATTGCTAACCACCTAGTTTATATAGCAACATTACTGTGGTTAATGAATATAATTAACAAAGAATGAGCTCTAAAAATGGTGGAAAAGTTGATTTTCACGTGATTTTAACCACAAAATAGTGCCAAAAAGGGGGCGTGCCAAAATCGCGGCGTGCTTCGCACGCCATTTTTTCCCTCAACTCCCCATTTGCAAAATCCTGGATCCGCCCCTGCTATCAGAATGCAGGATATAGAGCTTATACTGTTGATGGTAATTACAATGAGTCCTCTAGACAAGTACTGGATCACGATACATACATACTAAACATTACTGATGCTAATCTTACTAATAAACCAAAATGGATCCATGAATACTCAGCTAAAGTAAGACAATGAGTATTGTAATGATATATTATCATGAACATATAGGATGCATACAATATGACTAATCTCATACCTGATAGTTGATTATCTTTATTGAAGGGATTTTTAACTAATAGTGATTTTTTTTGAAATATTATCAGTAAGTGTGCCATTACATACCCTCTATCTGGCATATAATGGTTAATATTACTATTGCTGGAAATTTTTGTCATTATAAGTAGTACTATTATGTGAAATTGCTATTTGGCAAAATTTTAATGCACTAGAGCCTGCTCATTTTAAAAATTCAATTTTGAAACATGTAAAGGGTGATCAAGCCTAAGTTAGCAATGTATTGCATGAATCATTTTGATTGCACTAGATTTAGTAAAGTATCATTGTTGTTTATTCCTACAAGTGTACAACCAATGGGCATTTATGTAACCTATAAATGTACTGCATATTCTTTATTGCTTATAATACTAATACCAGTAAATTTCATTGTTTTAAATCACTATTATTTTACTACTACTAGTCTATTATCCTCTGTTCTTATGTTTCCCTATCTAGTTTCTTTTTTAAATCATTTGATATGAATGCTCAGTGCTCTGGCTACTGTCAGCATTCTACAATCTGTTCCTGTTTAACAACTTTCAGTAATGTTTCTGCCTGTGATGCTGTATCACCAAAGACTGTGAAAAAAGAACAAATGACACTATATGCCAAAGCTCATGACCACTGCTAAGATACAATTAACATTAAAATGTTACTGCTCTATGTTCACATTAATTTTATTATTGTAAAAAAAAGAATTATTATTTTAAAACTCCGCCTTGTTTGAAGGTGTGTTGGTGGTGTGATTCAGCCAGAGGAAATTAATTTGTTTGACGATTGACGAAGAGAGAGAGAGAAAGATGAAAAAGAAATGGTTTTCTTTCGTGTTTCTCTGCTTAGCTCTATTGTATGTCACTCGGCCAGTTTTATTGGCTTCTCTAAAGGGCATGGACTTGTCTAAGTCAGATCTGGACTCCAGCATATTGTGCGACACTTGTATAGGGCTTGTGACAACTGTTCGGAAACTTGCCAAACTGCATGTCAGTCAGGAGTTAATAGAGAAAGCTGCAATAGAATATTGTGAGAAGTCTGGCCTTGCTGACGAGCGTATTTGTAAGCTGATTATACCCGAGTTCAAGGTAGAGTAGAGTACTATTATCATTTTAATTTTCACTATAAAACCTTAAAATAAATATACATGTGTAGGATGAGGTTCTCTATGTGTTTGATCATACTGCTCTTTCCTCACGTGAGATCTGTGGCACCATTCTAAATGACAAGTGTGGCTCAACGTATGATCCTTTCAATCAACAATGGAATGTTACCATACCTGGTGGTAAACCTCCCATTAAACCATATCATCCTCCAAAAGTATGTGTACATTAACAACTATATAATTAAATTAGCCTTCCTTATGATCACATGCAGATTACTTACACTAGTGACATAGATAATGATTTATTTCATTTTGTGTACGCACACAGTTAACTGATTGGAATGTATTGTTAACGCACTATTAATTACCGTAGCTGTTAAAATGTTATTGTCATGTGACTATCATGTATATCAATGTTATCATCATAGCGATACAGTTTGTAGAGCTTATGAATAATAAAAATTTATAAATTTACTAAATGAAAGTATTCAGTTTCTTGCTATTCAAATTTTTTATAAAATAATTATTGTAGCTATTTAAAAATGTTATTGCTCTAAGATGAATGTTACTCTATTGTGCATATCAATGTAATGAGAACTGTTACCATCGTAATGATATAGTTTGTGATTTGCTGAATGAAAGTGTTCATAAAAGTGTCTTGTTATTCAATTTCTTATAAAAGCTACGCAATCGCAGCGAGTATACTAATTTTTATAGGTGCTAATTTTATTACTACAGCTTTAGTAATAATAATATATTTATGCATAATCACTGTTCTTACTGTAATCAAGATGTATTGCTAATTTTGATAACTCCAATAGGTAAACATTACTAACAGAATTCTTCATATTTCTGATATTCATTGGGACCCTCAGTATACTCCTGGCCTTCGAGCTCAATGTGATGAACCATTGTGCTGTAGACCACCACTACCTAATGGTATTAATCTTATGCATACATGTATTTCTATCTGTACATGATTGTGATAAAGTCTGATTGAACGAAAAATTTTTGCTTAATATGATTCTTACAGTGTCATATTTTTTGTTGCTCTATTTGACAATAGGAGGTCCAAACAACTCAGCAGGTGCTTGGGGTGATGCTCGCTGTGATATACCACTACAAACTGTTGTAAACTTAATGGAGCACCTCAGTGCAACACAAGATCAAGTGAGATGGTGTTATTGTTGCTTACAGTTGCTGATAAATTTCCTCAAAATAGTTTGAATGGATTTACATGACTGGCGACTTGCCAGCTCATAATGACTGGAGCCAAACAAGATCAGGCCAAGTTGATATTTTTAACAAAATGATTGACTTATTTGATCAGTATCTTCCTAATAAACCTATGTTTTATTCATTTGGTAATCATGAGAGTGATCCAGTCAACAGGTACATGCATGTACATGCTATCAGTGGTATATGCATTGTATTTTTTATTTTAGTTTCCCTCCAAATTATATCACTGGGTCTAACTCCATTTCATGGTTATATGATGCTGCTGCTGACAAGTTAAAAAAATGGCTTAACACAACTGATGCATATAATACATTTAAAAGGTTCTTGTAATACCTATCATTGCTCTAATTTATAATATTTTTATTTGTAGCGGTGGTTTTTATTCTGTTGATTACAATGGAATAAGAATTATTTCATTACAGACAAACTATTGTAATAAACAAAACTGGTAAGTGATAGTATATTTTATCATAGTCTATAGTTTTAGTAACTTTTAGGTGGTTATTGATCAATGGGACTGATCCTGATGGAATGTTACAATGGTTTATTGAGAAGTTACTTGATGCTGAGAAGAAAGGAATGAAGGTTCATGTACTGGGCCATATCTCACCTGGTGATGGTGCTGATTGCTCTAATGCTTGGAGTACAAATTATAAGAAAATTGCATTGAGGTATTTTTTCATGTTTTTTTTATTGAAATTTAATTGTTTATAAATGGTTTAGATTTGAGAATACCATTGCTGGACAATTCTTTGGACATAGTCATCAGGACAGGTTTCATCTTATGGTGGATTTTGAAACCAACACTCCTCCTAGACCATATGGGTAAGAGACAAAGAAATATTTCATTAATTCTTTGTATAGTATATTATATCTAGGTCCTAGTGTAACCACTTATCAGAATCAGAATCCAGGATATAGAATTTATACTGTTGATGGTAATTACAATGAGTCCTCTAGACAAGTACTGGATCATGATACATACATACTAAACATTACTGATGCTAATCTTACTAATAAACCAAAATGGATCCATGAATACTCAGCTAAAGTAAGACAATGAGTATTGTAATGATATATTATCATGAACATATAGGATGCATACAATATGACTAATCTCACACCTGATAGTTGGTTATCTTTACTGAAGGAGTTTCTCAAAAACAATACTCTATTTTTGAAATATTACCAGTAAGTTACATATAATTGTTACTATAATATTTTACCCATATACAGTTATTTTTGCAAGTCATACTATATGGACTCTCTGTGTAATGGTGACTGTCAGAAACAGGCAACCTGCAATTGTTTGACGACTTTCAGCAGTACTAATGCATGTAATGCTATCACTGCAGTACCTTTGACCAAAGAAGAGATAGAGAAGATGATGTTATATGAAAAATTCCACGACCACTGTTAATTAGAATTTATATTTTTAATATATACATGTAGTTTTGTGTCTTTCACTGAATCATACAATATGGCATTTATCATCACCTTTTTAATAAAATTATTCAATTGTAGATGTTCACAATATTAATACTGTTGAAACAATGAGGTCATTGATGTCTTATACATTGTTGTGATTCGTCATTGTGCAGGTTCGATGGGGTCAAAAGGTCACTTAATTAGTATCACGTGAGCCTTTATTAGAAATGGGACATAGTTTTGACTCGTATCCCCATAGTTTTATTCCTCAACATGGTTTCCAAAAGCATTTTAAGAAACTTGACTAGTCGAGTGTTCATGTTCAATAGTTTAATAAGACTTATTCATAAATATTGGAATTTATACGGTCAAGAGGGCACTGCCGTTGATTTGATGCGCAGCTGGATCACTATGATAGTACCGTGATTGTATAATTACATGTTTTCTTGTATAAACTAAGATAAGTAAGATAAATTTTAGGTCAGTATAACAGTTTTAGATTGTAGTGACACATCAGGCTGAAAAAATATTTAACTTCTCATGGCATTGCCTCTCAAATTGGATTTTTACTCAAATGCTTATAACACTTCAAATAGAATTCTAAAACAGCTGCTATAGACATAGACAACTTCTTCTCATTTAAATCAGTTATTATGAAACTATAATTCATTGGTCTGTGTCTAGTTTACACAGCAACAGCAGCATCCTTTTTATGTTTATCTCCATTGGCAACTTGGCAAGTACAGGCAAGTGCCAAGTTACCGCATTGCCCTCTTGACCGTATATTCTAATTAATTATGAATAAGTCTTATTGAAATTATTTTGATGAAATTATTTCCTGTACAGACTTCCTGTCGATGTCCTCTGGTGCAGAGGGTGTGGCACGCACTATGGCGAGCGCGACTTGTGTAAACAAGAGTCAAGGAAAGAGTAGATATCTTCTTCGTATTGGTAAAGAGAGTAAGAGATACGTGTAACTTATATCTTTCGTATAGATAAATTGATTGATATTATCAAATTGCTCAAAACATGTGAATTTTCCATGACAAAATGGCCTCTGCTTGGTTTGAATCTTGGACTACTGAAGAACACATTGGAAACCATTAAAAAAGATAATGATACAACATCAGATTGTGTAACAGAATGTCTCTCCTACTGGTTGCGCAGAGCAGATAATGTTGAAATGAGAGGAGGAACTACTTTGGAATCTCTTTTATGTGCTCTGAAATCCATGGATGAGATGGCTGTAGCTGATAATTTATCTAATAAAAGTAGTATAACAACAATTTTTTTACTGTTTAATGTGTTATTTTTTGGTAGAACCTAGTTTTTTATCTATGTGTATTTTCAATGATCATCATGATCTCCTCTCTCAGTCTCTTTGTGATCCTGTTGGTGTTGCCAGGATGCTCTGTCAAGAGGATACGATAAAAAGAGAAGCATTAAAGAGCATCGAGTCAGCTAGTCCCCCCTCTGTTTCAAAGCAGCGTGAAACCCTTTTAGCGACCATCAAAGAAAAGATTCAAACTGATCATAGTTCTCTTCAGACATTTGCTAGTGTGTTATGTAAGTTTCATCCTAATGTAAAATTAGGCAACACTATTAATGAAGACTACGGTAAGCTCATAAAAATATTATTGATAAAATTTTTATAATTACTTTAGCTAAAGAATTTCTGGATGACAGTCAAGTGATATGGCAAAGTAAGTAATTATCCCCATTGATGCTGTGATATAAAATCATGTGGTAAAAATTGTGAATCACAATAGAAATTTCTAAGAAATTAGCTAATGTTTATTCCAAATAATTTTTATACATGTAGGTGATATTACATCATCAGCACTATCTGAAGTTACACCTAGCACACTAGGTATCATGAATCATTGTTGCTATAATCATTATTGCTTTTGTACAGAAATTCTTATTCCTGTTCCACGAAGCCTGAGTTCTGAGTTTAATTCAGTGCGAGCATCATTTAGTATAATGTTCTCTAAAGTACAGAAAGTTGTGACAGATAACAATCCATCACTCAATGAGTTAAAGATTCTTCTAGTAAATTATGAATCTGAACTTGAGGCACAGCTAAATGAGATTTTTACACTGCCTCCTGTATTTATTTTAATAAGGAAAAACTGTAGTCTTATTGATGTTGAAATTCTTAAAGCTGTTGTAAATCACTTTGAGATCGAGGAAGCTCATAAATACATTAAGGATTACAAAGAAATGGTAGAAGAGTCTTGTAAAGCTTTCTCAATTGATTTATGCTTGAATGAAAGATTTGAAGTTATAGAAGCTGCACCTTTTTTGAAATGCGAAACAGCTATTTTTGTTTTTGACTGGGAGCCAAAGGAACATGTGCTGAAGGATATAATGGATATTTTATCAAAAGCATGTGGTAAACTAGTAAAAATACGGTTCATCAACAAAGGGAACTCAATTACTGTCACGTGTTTCTTTTCTCTCTCTCTTGCTGGAGTTGTTATTGTGAAAGCAACTGAGAATCTTGATATACTAATTCAGAATGGTTTAATGAAGCTTACTATCGGGTACTGTGTAGTATGGAAGACAAACAAGGTATAGTATAATTTATCTATAATTTTAATGTATCTTAATATTAGCTGCAGCAACCACAGGAAAAGAAAATTGCTGAAAGCCAAGATGCCAAGGTTTGAAAAATCCTTTAAAAATTGTTAATTATACTGCTAGATGACATCAATAATTTTATCTAACTGTTTCTTATAATTGTCTTTTCTACACTTGTATTATTGGAGAAACCATAGATATTACTCTATACTCCAACATTTATGGAGCCCTTGCCTATCAATTAGAAATGTTGATTAATAGATTCTGCCAGAGATACTGCAGTGATTAATTTGATATTTTATAGGTTCTTTTACATGAAGCTCACTGTTGCAAAGAAGTCGGGCTAATTCTAATGACAACTAGATCTACCACATTCCTTTCATCTCAGTTACTCAAGTTTTCCATAAAAAAGTTTTGCCAGAGATGCACAGATTTTCCAGAAAGCATAATTGGATCAAAAAGATTCAGTTTATTAGAAGCAATAATAATTGCTGTGAATATTGGTGAGATTATATTTCCGATTAAATAAAATTATTGTTATTCATCACAGGATGCACTGATGAACTTCCAATCATGAATAAGATATGCATTGATTTGGAACAGCTATTTCAATGTGCAATGGCAAGAATCCCATATATAACCAATTCAACTGAGAGGTTGAAAGTAATGGAATTTCTTTTTGTTCTTTCAGACGTTCCTAAAAGTGGATTTTTATCTCAATTCCCAATACCCCCAAGCTCTTTACTAAATTTACGATGGCTCATAAAGCACAAAACCTGCTCTTTTCGTTTGTGTAAGCAATTATTGCAAAATGGCCTGAAAATAATTGATCAATCTATTTCTCAAGAGGAAATTCTCAAATCCCTGGATGATGATACTTGTGCTCTTGTTCTAGATTGTTACAAAAAAAATTTAGGCACACAATCAATTAATACAGCAATACAAAACAAGAAACCCAAAACAGCCTCTGTATTGATTGAAAAATTAGCAAGTCGAGATGATAAGAAAACCATGTTAAAGGGAGTTTTTCGAAATTTTGATGATAATCTTTTAAAAGTTTTTTCTTCTGAGTGCAGCCCATTGCTAAGAGGCCTACTTTTAAATGTAATTGTATTCTCTTCATCCGAGAAAGATGACAAGAAAGTTAAAGCAATTAAAGTTGTTATTTCCAGTACTAGTGACCTAAAAATTGCTAAAGACCTCGATTTAAGAGAAATGTTTCGAAATCGCAGCTGTTTATCATTTTTCCTATTGTATCCAATTCTATTGAAAAAATTATTAAGCATTGGTCTGAGAATTAACAATCATGAAAAAGAATTAGTCATATTACTTTTGCACAATAAAGATATTGCTAAAGCAATTGATGTTATATGCATCCTCCTCAATCATGGAGCTGATGTTGGTATGCTAAAATCTGCTTACACTGGCAGAGGAGAAGGCAGTGCAATACTGGGAGCAACAGAACTTGCTGTTAAAGCTGGTAAGCATATTCAATATTTAATGTAAAATGTAGTGATGTGCTATTTTTTCTTAGGAGACCCCACTGTATTGAAAATAGCATTGGAAAAGACTGGCCGTGGTGCTGATGAATGTCAACGATTAATCGATAGTTTTAAAAGGAACAAACAAAAGAATCCTTCTAATGAATTAGAAGTCATTTGCCAACCTGCAAATGCACATGTACCACGACGTACAATGCCAGAGAATAGAGCTGAGCAAGTTAATAATAGTGCTGATCAAGTTAATCGTGGCGTTGATATACAAGATGGTGTCGTCAAGCAGCTACATGATGAAGTGAATCACCTTTTAGGAAAAGATTCAGATTACTTCAAACTAAATAAGGCCTGTAAGGAGGATGATGATGATGACGATCATGATGATGATGATGACAATGATTATAATGATGATGACAATGACAGTGATGGGAATGAAGAAGCTCTATCTTCTTCATGCACCTCAGAATTAAAAACTGATGTTACTGCTGAAATAAGCACACCTTTATCAGCAGGTCTTCACACTCAAGCCATTGCTAATGTAGAGTTTGGCAATGATAAAAATGAAATGAATTTTCGCGATCTTCCTTGGGCTATATTTATCAGTAAGCAAGTTGCTGACTTTTTAAAGTCCAAAAAATCATCTAGACGTGTTGTTAGCCACATAAAAAAGAAATTGTATGCTTTGGGTGAAGGGAATCGAGGAAAAACTCTTTGTCATAGATGCATTGAACAAGAGGACAACCTTTATGAAACAGAACTTTATACTGAGGCTCGTATTATATGGCATGAAACAATAGAATATTCTGATGAATTGTCCACAAATGATGAAAAAATTTATACGGATGTCATCAGAGTGTTATGGGTTACAACTAGACACACCAAAACCCAACTGAGTGATGTTCTACAAAAGATCAAGGCAGCTTTGGCTAAGTCTAGGATCTCAACCTCATTTAAGGACCTACAGATACAACCAGAAGCCAAACATAAACATCCACATGAAGGTCTGAAATATCCACGAAGATTTATTGAACGACTGTCACAGTCACTCAGTCCATTGCCAAAGAGTGATGAAGCAGAAAATTTTTACCGCCCATTTCCAAATATTTTTGGTGGTGAATACAGTCTTATGCAGTTTCATCCATTTCATGAGTTTCTTGATGCATATCTTTCTAATAATTCCTCAAATTATGAGACGTCAATTTGTATGTCCCCACAAGAGCAAGAGATTGTAAAGCTTCCCTATAGAAAAGAGCCAGTCATTTTATGTGGCAGGAGTGGTACAGGCAAAACAACAACATGCATTTATCGTATGTGGAATGAGTATAAAGTATTTTGGGAGAAGTTTCTTGATACTCTTCAAGTTGATACTGATGGAGTAAAGCAAGATGAATATCTGCATCAAGTTTTCATTACTAAAAGCCCTGTACTCTGCTCTCAAGTTAGAAAGCACTTCGAAAAATTAATCAATGGGTGTCCAAAGCTACAAAAATTGTGGTCTAGCCCTTCAGTTATTTCACACAAGTCACTGGCTAATTATTGTCCTCGTAAAGGCTTCCCAATTTTTGTTACGTCAAGGCAATTTCTTCTACTACTTGATTTAACATTGACAGATGGGAAGCCTTTTTTTGATCGAGATCACAAGAATAACATTGCTGTAAAGCTATATAACTCTGATTACAATCATAACAGTAATCCCGATGGTCTTTTTAGTGATGTACATATAGTTGCAGGCAACCCCACTAACGATGACGATGATAAGCATAAGAAGAAGTGGATAGAAGTTACTGCTGACTTTTTTTGCAAGCGAGTCTGGATCAAGTGCCTTAAATCAAAATATGGAAGACAATTTGATGATCCACTTCTCGTGTGGATGGAAATACAATCATTTATTAAAGGATCGGCAAAAGCATTAGAGTCTAAAGAAGGTTTTATTAGCAAAGACGAATACATCAAAATTGGTAAAAAAATGGCTCCAAATTTTGCTGATGAAAGGGATGAAATTTATCGATGCTTTTTAGAGTATAGAAATATCCTCTATCAAGGAGCTCATCTTTTTGACTGTGATCGTTTATTTGATGAATCAGATATTATTTTTAATTTATTCACACGGCTTTCAAAACAAACCAAATTGCAAAAATTGTGGCATATTGATCATTTTTATATTGATGAAGTTCAAGATTTCACTCAAGCCGAATTTTCTCTTTTGCTCTATTGTTCAAATAGTCCGAGTGGGACATTTTGCACAGGTGACACTGCTCAAAGTATTATGAAGGGGGTCTTTTTTCGATTTGAAGATTTGAGGTCTCAATTTTGGACACTTAGCTGCTCACCAACAAGCCTTTCTAAAGTTCCAGAGTTAAAAATGTTGACTGATAATTTTCGAGCACATTCTGGTATTTTAAGTATGGCTCAAGCAATAATTAAAATGATGACTGTTTTTTTCAAGAAATCATTTGTCGACCAAGTGCCTCCTGAAAGACCAATGTTTGAAGGACCGCAGCCTATTCTTTTGAGCGTGGAATCAGAAAAAGAACTTACATCAATTTTATTAGGAAATGCTAGTAATGAATAAAGTCAAAAGGTTGAGTTGGGGGCACACCAAGCTATTATTGTTCGCTCTGACGAAGCAAAAAGGAAGCTCCCTGAATCTCTTAAAGATGGAATTGTCTTAACTGTGTTGGAAGCTAAAGGACTTGAGTTCAATGATGTCTTGCTGTATAATTTTTTTCAAGATTCAGAGGTTTGCAATTTATCAATGACTATTGTAGTTACTAATTTTAAATTATAATCGTATAGGTTCGCAAAGAATGGCGTCTGTTTTACAATAATTGTGAATTTATCGGTGAAGAAGATACAAAGCACCGGCCTCTGGGTGAAGTGGAGGAAAGAAAATTGAAATCACTGCTAGCAGAACTGAAGTATTTGTATACTGCCATTACTCGAGCAAGAGTCAATTTGTGGGTGTATGACGAGTCACTTGAACATCGGGAGCCAGCCTTTCATTTTTGGTCAAGTCAAAATTTGGCAAGATTGATCAATATAAGTGAAGCAGAAAAAGATGACCTTTTATTTGCTGCTCCATCTGAAAAGGAGCAGTGGTCAAAACAAGGAGACTTTTACTTCAGAATAAGGAGGTGGGATGTAGCTATGACTTGTTATGAAAAAGCAGGGTTAAGTTATCAAGTAAATGTTACGAAGGCTTACAAGTTGTCAGAACAAGCAAGAACACAGCCATCAGTTAGATCTATGCATAAGTGCTATACAGAAGCAGCTTTGGCTTTCCTTGCAGCAGACAGTCACTCCCACAAAATAGAATATATAGACAAAGCTATTTATTGCTTAAGAAAGAGTGAGCAGCATGAATTATTGGCAAAACTTCTAGAAAAAATGGAAAAGGTAATTTTTAAAACTGTTATAAAAAAATAATTCATTTAAATTTTTTATTCTAGCTTGAACAAGCAGCAAAAGAATGGGCTAAAGCTGGCAAGTATTTAGAGCAAGCAAGAGTTCTTGAAATGTTGGAAGATTACTCAGGAGTCATAAGAGCTTATGCTAAAGGAAAGAAATACCAAATCGCTCTCCAAAAAGCTGTACAATTTGAGAGAAGTGGACAAAAACTTGACTTGGATGTGAATGCACAGCAAATAGCAAGTGATTTTGCTAGGATGAAAGTGCATGAAGGAGACCAGGAATCTCTTCGTAACATAGTAACATTTATATCTGATGGAATGGTTAAAGCAGATTTTTTAAAAGAAACAGGTTTGTTTGTTGAAGCTTCTGAAGAGTTACGAAAAGAACGGAAATTTGTTGAAGCAGTTCGCATTTTGAAGGCTCAAGGGATGTTTAAAGAAGGGCTGGAGCATTTTAAAAATGATACCACAATCAGAAGCATGTTTAATCTTTGTATTGCTGCACAACAAATAATAGAAGATCAATTCTTTGATGATCCCTTATTAAATGATCTCACTAAATGTAAAGATTTATACTGTAAATCCCGATCTGAATTGTTGTGTGGTAAATTCAAAGATGACACAAAATACCTTAAAAGAGCCATACAATCTTTTAAAGATAATAAAGATTTACCTGGAAGAATAATAGCCATGTATCATTCTTTAATCGCACAAATTGAAGGCAACCAGTTAGATAAGTGTGAGTTTTTGAATGCTGTGAAGGAAATCAATGATGCCAGAGAGGCAACTCGTGCTTTTATTGACGGAAAAGCAACCAAAAAGCAAAGAAATTTTATGTATGATGTGTTCAGGCTATATGACATTGAAGAAGAGGAGGCCTTTTACTACACAACAAAAATTTCCAGAGCATATGCAAAGTTCACCACTGATTTAGATTTAGAAATTGATGATACAAATATAGATGGTATGTTAGTCCTTGACAAAGAAAAGGTGCAAATAGCCATAATTGCAGTGTTTGATCAAATGCATCATACTCTTTCTAACTCACCTTTTGTTCAAAGTCAGTTCAAAAAACTACTGCATTCACTCTTCACGTGCAATAAAGATTTTCAAGCTGAGTCTTTTAAGCGTTATTATGATGATGTAAGATATCTGTTCAGATTTTGTACTTTGTTTCCTGACAATGATCTTGATGTAGAAGAAATCACTCATGTAGAAAATTTCGTTTTTTCCATGTTTTCTCTATCTTCTGAAATGCTATCATACCTTATCTCAAATATTGATGATAGTCAGTCAGACTATTTCTTGAATATTGCTTGTAAAAAGATTAATTCTCCTAATTCTTCACTTGAATGCTATTTCTCAGCATGGGCAATGCTAATAAAATTTCAACATCCAGAAGATGCAAATAGGAAATTGAGAGATAATTTTAAAACAAAGGAAGAAGATGGAGATGGCCTTGTAATTCCTTATCCAAAGAAAAAAACTCATGTGTTCTTCTGGTGGACTTATGCATGTAGGCAATTCCGTGATGGGCAAGTCATTGCTGGCTGCAATACAGTGATGCATAATCTGTTGTATCGCTTTCCTCAAATAAAAAGTTATGTATCAATCTCATCAATTACATTTGTCGTATCTCAAATGACAACCATGTTAGTCATTGCAATAAATAGCTCACCGTTCAGTCAGCTAGTCAAATTTATTGTGCCTAAAGTATATGAAAATGCATGTATCACTTTTGGTAAACTGAATAATATGAATATGTCTATATGTTCTTCTACTGGTGTAGCTTCAGACAGTTTTTCTCAGTCCATTCAACAACTTACTACATTGCTTGATTTTATGATTGGTGATGACAAAGGTCAAGTAGGGATCCTACAAATGGCACTATCTTCAGAAGTAAATCTTAATGATGGAAGTGCACAAAGTTTTCTTACTCTTTGCTTAGTATTGGCTGCTAATTTGTATTGTTATCCTAACATTACTCACAATATGTATCCTCGGCTTCTTATTATACAGAAGGAATTAAAGAGGCACAGGCATCATAGTTTTGTTGACAAGGCTTATTGTATTCTTCAGACTGCAAAGAATGTAGGAGACATTTTTTCACTCATTACTGGCCTCTCATCTCGTTTGGTATGCCCTTTTGTTGTATGGAAAAGTATTAATTTTAAGCCCGTTCCTCCTGGAAATACGTATCCACAAATAAAGCGATTGGTCATTATTGAGGATGAAAAAGAGCAGAATGAGCTTCAGATTGATGATGACATTGACAGTACAGTAACCCCTAGTAGCCATGTCACCATTGAGAATGAGTATAGTCCTGATTTTGATGATGTTGACAAAGACACAGAAGAAGATATTAAATTTGAAATAAAGAATGGCATGTTGGAAGATAATGAATGTCAGGTGTGTGGAACCAAGTTTTCAAATAGTAAAAGTGATGGACAGAAGGTGTACTATATGAGTTTGAAGAGTCATTTTGAAAGTCACGAACATGAAGAGAAAGTTAAAAGTTTCAATGAGTTTACTGAAGCTATGCAAGTTGCAGAAGATTTGTACAAGAATGTAAAGAAAGATTTGGAGAAATATAGACAAGTTTTTTTGAATCAATCTCATTTAAAGTCGTTGATATCGAGGCATAAAGGTGTCATAGAAAAAATTAGAGATTTGAAACAGTTGTTTGAGTGGGTTAATTGTATTAAGATTCTTAAAAAATACATGGAATATCTTCAGAATTTATCAATTGAAAAACCAAATATATCAACACCAGATGATGATGGTGATGATGAAGTGGCTGAATTGAATTTACTGCCACCTGATGAAGAAGAGAAATGGACAAAAGAAAGCAAAAATGCACGTAAATGGGAATAGACTTACCACGCACTGCTTAGTAGACTATGTCTAGTATAGCTATTTTTATATAAACATAGTTATAATAAACAGTATTTTTGTAGCATTCACAAAGCAGTTTTTATGCCTAAATTTGAATTTAATATAGTGTTTAGTTTTTATAAATATTTGCTTCCAAAAGCACCCTTAGTTTTACTATTATTTTTATAATAGCTGAAAAAATTATTAATTAGATATTATTATTACATTAATTCTGCTTTTGGAGACCTCACTGCTCTTAACTTTGTTTGAAATCAAATCTAGATGGAACTGTTGTCAGAGAGCTTGATTCTTCAAGCTCTATAACTCTGCATGAGAAGCTGATTTGGCTGTCAGAGGGTGATACTCCTATGTTGATCAAGTGAGAAGAAAAAACTAAGGCTTGTAAAAAGAAACTATATTGTTCACTTCACTATCTGTTATGATTAAAGTATGTGATGGATCCTGAAGCATCTCGTTTAAGTGAGAAAATATCATAGAATTGGGAAAAGAGATATAGTCTTGCATAGGTATAGAGGTAGGAGGTCCATGTCCCCTACCCCAAATAATATGCTTAACAATGCCTATTTGACATTGCTGTTTTAGATGCTAATCATGCTCTGTAGAAAGCATTTAAAGGGAGCCAATTGTTAAAAAAAGCAAATGCCCATGTTTTTTTAAATTGGCTTCAAAATCACCCCAAATATCTATTACATTTTCATGTATACTTATGCTGAGTAAAAAGTTTGAGCTGATTTGGACAAATTTTTTTCAAGTTGTGATCATTTTTTAAAATGAGCCAATTTTAAATTTGCTCCAAAATCAGCCCTAATTTTGGGTTGATTGATGTCCTTATAATGTGTAGAAAGTTTGAGCTGATTCTAACTTACGGCCATTTGAAGCAAACGTCAAAATCTGAAAAAACCTAAGCCTATAACTTTTTTAATAGCTCTGAAATCACACCAAATTTTATTACGTTTTCAGATACATATTGATGTCCTTATGCTGTGTAGAAATTTTGAGCTAATTCCGACTTCAATTTTTAAGTTTTGGCCATTTTATAATAGCCAAAATCTAAAAAATACCCAAAGCTATAAATGGTTTTTCCAAAAATGGCTCGGAAATCATCCCCCATTTTTATTACATTTTCCTGATACATATTGATGTCCTTATGCTGTGTAGAAAGTTTGAGTTGATTCCGACTTCAAATTTTCAAGTTATGGCCATTTTAAGAAAATGCAAAAATTCTGAAAAATACCCAAGGCTATATATATAGCCCATAGTTTTTTCTGAAAAATGGCTCTGAGATCACTCCCAATTTTTATTAAATTTTTTGATACATATTGATGTCCTTATGCTGTGTAGAAAATTTAAAGTGATTCTGACTTCAATTTTCAAGTTACAACCATTTTAAGAAAACCCCAAAATTTTGAAAAAAATCCCTGTACTTTAACCCACAGTTTTTTTCCAAAGAATGGGTATTTGTCAGAATCAGCTCAAACTTTCTACATAGCATAAGGACATCAATATGCATCAAAAAATTTGGGGTGATTTCAGAGCCATTTAAAAAGAATTCATCAGCCTTTGCTTTTTTCAAAAATTTGCTCGTTTTTAAAAATGTTCATATTTTTAGCATTTAGTAAATGTACATTTATGGGTCTATATTTAAAATAAATACAAAAATATAAATAGTTATTATTGTCCTTCAATGCTATGCTTATGGTAAGACTCAAAAGCAATATTTCTCAATTTAGTGTCACTGATTGCTCCAGTTTGTTGCACAAGTTTACTGAGATATGAGGATGAGTCACTGAGGAGCAAATGAGGTACATCAAACTCTACCAGTTGACCTGATCTCAATACCTAATGACATGAAACAAAATAATACAGTATTGAAAATACTGATATACCATGATCCTATTAGAATCCATGACAGTATCAAGTCTATGGGCAATAGTTAGGACAGTACTACCAGAGAATTGTTTACGTATCACTTGCTGAATAATGGCATCAGTCCTGATTCATTAAAGCTAATATTTGAAGTATATTAAATCACTCAACTCACTCCAAATCCACATTAGCAGTGGCTTCATCTAATATAATGATAGTGTTGTTCTGAAGGAGGGCTCTGGCTAGACAGAACAGCTGCCTCTGTCCCACACTAAAGTTGGCACCCCCTTCGCTTACATCACTCTCCAATTTTCCTTCAAGACCATCAACTACATTCTTCAGTTGAACCTGTACTCACATACATGTGTATTGTGTATGATAGTTAGTTATAAAACAATATATAATACTTGTTCTAATGACTTCCATATTCTATCATCATCATATTCTTGAAATGGATCTAAATTGTAACGTACTGATGCACCAAACAATACTGGATCCTATACACAATATGCATGAGTACAGAATAATGAAACTTTACTTGTGGAATGATTGATATATTACTCCTAACATCATGGAGTCCGAGTTGACTGAGTTCAACTCCATCAATTTTAATACTACCAGTTGGTTCAGCTAGTCTGAACAATGCCCCAATGAGAGATGACTTACCAGCTCCAGTACGACCCACAATACCAATCTAATAGCTATCAAATCAAAAATATACTGTTTTATAATACCTTTTCACTTGGTTTAATGTCACATGTAATTCCTTTAAGTACAAGTGGTCCTTCATTTGAATGACAATAGGAGACATCTTTTAGTTCAATGTGTCCTTTTGTTGGCCATTCTGAACTCAGTGATACTGAAGGATCAGTTTCTAAGGATGATTCTGTTTCCAGTTGACCATAAGCCATCACTCTCTCAGCTGAAACCATCTAAAAGCACACATTGATATAACTAAAGCCTAGCTATCACAAGCCACTAACAAAACTCTCAACTTCAGTACCAGATCTGATGCAACCTTGAAATGCACCATTAAGCGAAATTGAATAGGTTAGTGCCAGTCCCACCAAACCTGCATCCAGTGCTAAATACAAAGTAACTACATTATGTACTTCTTTTGTCCTTCCTTACTGGATGATAGAGGAACTGATCCAAAAGCTACAAATGTAATAAATAATGTGCTGAGAACATCAAGTCTCATTCCAAACCATCTAAAATAAAATGACACCATCATAGGCTCAGCCTTTCAACCTTTACCTGTTGGTTACAATGTAAAGATAGGAGGCTTGAGTGTGTTGATCTTGAAACTTGTAGAAAAGATTCATTGCTTCAGTTTGCATTGAATATGATCTAATGGTAGGGAGTCCTTGCAATGTAAGAGATAGATGAGAATAGACAGGACTCCGAGCTATAGACAAACATTTATAGCATAATAACTGTTAGTGTTGATTTTATTATGGGTAGGTAAACTTAAACTACAAAATGAACTCACTCATAGCTTCAAGCCGTTTGATGTCTCGTGCAGTATTCAAGTAATACCAACGAAATAAAATGGAGACAATGAAAACAACTCCAACAGCAATCAGGACGAGAGGATTAGCAATGGATGCTGTTATCATGATGGCACAGAAACGGACCAGTAACTTTAAAAAATGAATGTATCTTAATTCATGCAAATTGCCCAATACTTACTAAGAGATATAAGGAAAAATAAAAAGGAAGTTCATCATCAAGAAACCCAACATCTTTTGAAAAACGGTTCAAAACTCGACCTATAAAAAGAATAAAAAATAAAGATATAATTTACAAATGATGATTTGTTTTTAAGTACATGTGTATATTGCTTACCAATTGGGTTGGTATCAAAGAACAGAATGGGAGCTCTCAGTACTCTAGCAAACATTTTGTTGTGCACAATTCTTGCTGAATTTAACATTAAGAAAAAGAACAGCGTTGATCTGAGTCCTGCAAACACTGCCAGTGATCCAATGAGTCCCCCATATATTCCAATACGTTGATTATCAGTGAGTGAACATATAGAGCTGCTATCATTACTGTCTGATTCACAATATGCCCTATAGGGCAAGAGACAATAAGTGATAGAATGTGTATAATGCATGGAGTCATTCACTGCACTAAAGCTCTGTGGAAAATCTGTGCTATAAGGTATCTTACCAATTTGATATCCACCAATCTGCCGTAACAAAATTTGCCTATAGTGATATAAATGCTCATAACTCAAAATTTTAGGCCACAATTTGCAAAAGACAAACCTCAGTTGATAAATAAATAAGTACAATTACTAATGTGAATAGGTACCCTCCTCCAGTTAGAAAATAACGAATGTACGTCTTAGTTGATACTGTGCCGTGAGCTCTTTCTTCAGGAGGGACGGACGTTTTTTGAGCTGCTGCCTACGTAAGTCAAGCATAAACAATGAGGCTATAATGTACAATGTGCAAACAGTATCGGCTTTTAATTGATTTGCTTTTAACTCAATCTCGAGATCTTTCTCATTATTATCAAAAGGACCTGTCATGTACATAAACATAAATTATTGAAAATATTAAAAACTCACTTTCCTCCAGTCCAGCTTTACTTGCTGATCTAACATTAAAGTCATATGAGGGTTTATCTACATTATCAGCTAGTAACTCCATGATTGTACTGTTGTCTTTCAAAACCTCATCAGTATCACCATACACAGCAATGCAGCCCTATACATAATGCAGAGAATTAATGAGAACATGTGCACATCATAATGTAGCCACTTCTTTTAATCCAAGTACAGTATCACACTGCTCAAGATATTGTAGTTGATGAGTTACTAGTATAACAATCTTGTCTGATAATATTCCACTAATGCACCTTAAAAAACACACAGTTCTACAGACACACATTATACAGGACATATCCACCTCTCAAACAGATGTCTACTGACTGCAGCATCTACTGCACTCAGAGGATCATCAAGAAGATAAACATCAGCTTGACGATAGACTGCCCTGGCTA